AAATTCTTTGCATACCTTATGTATCGCGAGGGATCATTTGACCCCTTATGGTGACACAGGTATATGTAAAATGCCGGTACGTTTAGTGTTAATAGATATCATAACTAGTTTTGTAATTCCAACTTTATGGTTAAAGTGTTTGAAAACCAGTGGTAAAAAAAAAAAGGCTAGATTTATTAGCCCTTTGAAGATCATTCTCATTCTCAAATTCAGCGAATGAATAGAATTAACTCTTGAGTGGATTTTTAATTTCAGTTTGATAGTTAGACAGTTTATGACAAATTGGTAAATAAAATCTCTTCTGCAGCATATTAGAGACATAAGGAAGCATCAACAAAAATTAGGCGATTAGTATAAAATTAGGTTATAAGTAGAATATAAATAAACGCCAATGGTCTGATTAGAGGTTAATATTTGTCTGATGTATTTTATCTTCCAATGTTCTTCTGTAGATAAAATGGAGTGAGGTCAAACGATCTCATAATTGCAGTTATAAAAGTAGGTACATATTAGGATATTTTCTTAATACTATAGATATTACAGTGGATAAGTAGGTATGACGATAAGGCCGCAAAGAGTTAAAAATTTGCAGATACTTTTTATGTTACAGAAAAGTATTATACCACATGATGGTTTTCGTTAAGCTGATCCAAGCTGGCAGAGGCGAAATTCGTGGAGCTTGAGAAACAATCTGGAAAAAGGATCGTGTGGCTGCCGGGAAAAAAAACACGAGCGGAACATTTTCCTTTTTTTTTCTTTTTCAATCGGTTTCGGGTCAAATGATGGCAAACAGACCGATCGGAAACGCGGTTACGTCAGCCGTCTGATCGGCAAACACGAAACGGGATCATTGTGCAACGCGCTTTCACTGCCCGCTGTATGCAGACTCTCTCGATTGTTTCCAACTCCCATGATTTGATTGAGCTTTTGCTACGTTTCTTTGTTCTTATCGTCGCGGCGCAGCTTTATGTAGATTATTGATTTTCATTCGCATGGTATTTCGAGGTGGTTCGATACACTCGTCGCGCGTATTATGCGTGTTACACGCGAATCTTGTTACGTTTGGAGTGTTCGAAGTGTTTGACGACCGACGTTTATAACGTTTGCAGTTCTTTCATGGACGTTGAATTTCAATTAGTTAATTATATCATTCGTTCTCGAGATGCGAGAAACAATTTTTTTTTTCCTTCGAGAAAATAAATCTTTTTATTCTGTTCATTCTGTTTCCTTTATTTTTTCAATGGATATGAATTCTCATTCAAACAGACAGACGAACGGTTGATTCTCGTTTCTTGTTATCTTCGTCTCATGTTTCAGATAATCTTGAAATTTATTAGATCGTGAAAATTACTTAAAAATCTTACCTCAAAACTAGTCCCGTCATCCTCATATCCTAAATATGCTTTAAAGAATTAAAGAAAGATTGCACTTTAGAAGATTATGATAATATAATAATAATATACATTATCTTATCCCAAGCATAGAAGTATGAAAAATGT